ATTTACATTTTTCATCATTTTTAACATGTTTGATCTTACTTCTTTTATCTTGTTTTACATTTCCCATTTATCAAATTTAATGGCTCTTTTCTTTTTCCCCATCTTTGCTGTACAGTCTTTTTTTAACATTTTTTTCTTTTAGATATTTGGATGCGGTGAGTCCATTTTTGTTTCTTCCAGTAAGATTGACTTCTATCTGCAAAATTTAAAATGTTTTTTTGGACCTATATTTTCTAGTTAAAATTATTACTTACACACACACACACACACACACACACACACACATACATACACGTTGCTTTTGTATGATAAAAGAATCTATAGTTTTAATTTTTCCTGTACCATGATTTTACTTTATATTTAGCTGTTTAGTTAGATACAGTAAGTTTTCAAAAAAAAATTCAGGACACGAATTTCTTAGTTCTTTGCCTTTTTTTTTTTTTTTTTGACAGGTTCTTGCTCTGTCAACCAGGCTGTAGTGCAGTGGTACAATCATAGTTCACTTAGCCTTGAACCTCTAGGCTCAAGCAACCCTCCCACCTCAGCCTCTGAGTATCTGGGACTACAGGCACACACCATCACATCAGGCTTTTTTTTTTTTTTCAAGGCAGGGTCTCACTCTGTCACCTGGGCTGGTCTTGAACTCCTGGCCTCAAGCAAACCTCCAACTTCAGCCCTTCCCAAAGCACTCAAATTATAGATGTGAGCCACCGTGCCCAACCTCGTCTTCTAATAACACCTAAATGTGCTCATATATTCCTCAGATTGTAAACACTTCCCTTCCAAAATACTATCAATGTATTCTAGCATTTAATTTTGTGGGGGCATCTTTGGCATATCTGATTTTTCTTTCTTCATAAGGAAATTCTTTCTGTCTGGACTCTTTTCAGTTTCTTCATATAGCCTTGAAATTCATAAGTGTCATCAGGATATGCTTATGCCTAAATATTGTTGTTGCTGTTGTTTTTAAATGATGCCTGATGTCAATGATGTCTTTCTTCAGATCAGGAAAGTTTTCTTTTATTATGTTTTTTTGTTACTTCTTCTGTTCTGTTCGTTCTGGGATTATCCTCATTAATAACAACTATTATTCCTATACATGTGAAACATGCACCTGGCAAGGTGGCTTATGCCTGTAATCTGAACACTTTGGGAGGCCGAGGCAGGTGGATCACCTGAGGTCAGGAGTTCGAGACCAGCCTGACCAATATGGAGAAACCCTGTCTCTACTAAAAATACAAAATTAGCCGGGCATGAGAGTGCATGCCAGTAATCCCAGATACTCAGGAGGCTGAGGCAGGAGAATTGCTTGAACCCAGGAGGTGGACGTTGCAGTGAGCTGAGATCATGCCATTGCACTCCAGCATGGTCAACAAGAGCAAAACTCCAACTCAAAAAAAAAGAAAGAAAAGGAACGCATATATTTATCTTTCCATAGATTTTTCCTAATTTCCGAAATAACTTTTTAAAATTTTACTTCACAAAGTTAATTTCTTTGTAATTACTTCATATCTCTTCCAGCTCTTTTTGTATTTCTTCCTGGCTCTTAGCCAATGATCTTTTCATTAATCACAAAATCAAGTCCCAGCTATGGTGTGATGTCACCTGCTCAGCTTTGAAAGTGCATCTGATGGTCTCAGGTACCAACTTCAGTCCAGTGATGCCAACATCACTAAGATCAAAGACATTATCTTGCTATCCTGAGTCCCTCTGTGTAGGTCCACTCTTGTCGGGTGGCAGAGTACAATGAGCAGTGAGAGAGGGGCATGGAGTGGGATGCTGGGCATAGATGCGGAAGGGCCTTGTCCATCATGCTGAGGAGCATAGACTCAGCAAAGAACAATGGAAAGCCATGAAACTCTCTCCCCTGGGCAGATACTCCATCCGCAGGACCAGTGACAAAGGCCAATTCTTCCGAGTCACAAAAAAGGGGGACATTTACAATGAGAAAGAACTGGACAGAGAAGTCTACCCCTGGTATAATCTGACTGTGGAGGCCAAAGAACTGGATTCCACTGGTGAGTGGGCCCCATCTGCCAGGGCACTTGGGTTCTTTTCCTTTTCCCTCTTTCTTCCAAAACCGGCATAATCAATCATTTGGGGTCTCTAGGGGTATTGCTGAAGCACCCATTGGTTGGGAGCTTCCATGCCCAAGTGTGGTCCTTGAACCAGCGGTATCAACATCCTCTGAGACCTTGTTGGAAGTACATCTCGGCCTCACCCCCACACTGAATCAGAATCTCATGCATGTCACAGTTTGAGAAGCACTGTCACGAAACAGGCTGTGCAGATGTCTCTGTGATGAGAATCACCCAAGGCACCGATTAAGCATAAAGCTCTACTCCACCCTGCAGGTTTTGGTCCAGGGAGCCAGACAGGTGCTCTTAACAAGGGTTCCATGATTCTTAGTATCATGGCTGTTTGGGAAATGTTCCTTCAGAGGCTGTTTATGTACCAGTTCATACGTAGAATTCAAAATGTGAAGCAGCTTCCAACTTTGAGATTGTGAGGTTCTCCAGAAATTGTGTAATTTTTGCCAGAGGGAGGGGCAAGAGTTGGAGTTTTGCATCCTTTATGTATATGAGAAAATCACAATTCATAGTTCACCACCAGGAGAACTATGAATACTCCCACTTTACCCAGGAGCTCATTAGGACCCAGGGAGGGAGTGACTTGGCTAAGGACCCCTGGTGCCTGCTGGGCCCAGCCAGACTCTCTTCTTCCAACACAGCAGCTGCCCCCAACTGTAATGGACTCCTGCATGTTTTACCAGATCAGTCTCCTCCATGTAATCCCATTCATAGAATCTTTAAATTTAAATCATTTAAAATATGGAAAATACAGAAAAGGAGAAGAAAATACTCTTCCTACCAATGCCACCATGCAGACAATTACTATTAGCACATTCATGTATTTTTGTGGTTTTTTCTAGACATGTTTTTTATGTAAGTGAGATTGCAATATGTGTATCTTATATTCCACATTTTTATTTCACCTTATTCCAGAACCATTTTCTCATGGTAATAATTTTTTTAAGAGAGAGATGGTGTCTTACACTGTTGCCCAGGGTGAAGTACAGTGGCACAATCACAGCTCACTGTAGCCTCTAATTCCTGAGTTCAAATGATGATCCTCCTACCTCAGCCTCCTGAGTAGCTGGGACTACAGGTATGTGCCACCTAGCCCAGCTAATACCTTAATTTTTTGTAGAGATGGGGTCTCACCATGTTGCCCAGGCTTGTCTCCAACTCTGAGCCTCAAGTAATCCTTCCTTCTGGGACTCCCAAAGTGTGGGATCACAGGCACTGGGCCTTAAAATTTTTTTTTGATTATTTTTTTAAGATGTAATTTACATGGGCATTGTCAATGACCATACATTTCATCCTTTTCCAGTGGCCTAATTTACTGATTCAATCTCACTTAGGTTGTTTACCTTTTTGATTCTTTTATGATCAATTTATTATATCTTATGTATTTAATCAAATAATTAAATTTTTAATTTTAGTAATTTAATTACAATGTTTTTAATGCACTTAGGTGGTTTACCTTTTTGACGCTCATAATCAAAGTAATACCTCAGTAAACCTTATGGATAAAGATTTAACACCTCCCCCCGACCAAACTCCTCTCATCCAGAACACCATCCCCAGACTCTGTTCCATAACCTCCTCCTGCAAAAAGTGGCCTCCACAGGGCAGCCCTCCTGGACTACCCATCCACACAGCTTCCACCCCCCAGGGCCTGCATCAGCTGAGCCCATCATGGTGACTGTCTTCTCCCCTGCAGGGACCCCCACGGGCAAAGAATCCATTGTGCAAGTCCATATTGAAGTTTTAGATGAGAATGACAATGCCCCGGAGTTTGCCGAGCCCTACCAGCCCAAAGTGTGTGAGAATGCTGCTCATGGCCAGGTGAGTCTGGTTCTGGTGGGAGGGGAAGGCAGTGCCATGCTGGGCAGGCTGAGGGGCAGAACTGCTCAACAGAGTCAGCAGAAGTTCCCCTGTACAACAGCCTTGAGGAAAATAACATTATGCCCATTTTATAGATGGAGAAAGTGAGGCTCAGAGAGGATGTCTGGGGAGTAGATTGGCAGGGCAGGGGACTGGAAAGAGTGGCTTTATAAAGCACTAAGTAGGTGAGTGTTACAGCTGGGAAACCGCCATGGTCAGGTCTAAACCCAAAGGCTCCATCACTGAACCTCAGACTACCCACCACCATCACTGATATCCCCTGTCTTTCACACTCCAGCTGGTCCTGCAGATCTCCGCAATAGACAAGGACATAACACCACAAAACGTGAAGTTCAAATTCGCCCTGAAAACTGAGAACAACTTTACCCTCACAGATAATCACGGTAGGTATCAAGGTAATCAGTTCAGCCGAGTATGATGGCCCATGCCTATAGTTCCAGCTTCTCAGGAGGCTGAGGCAGGAGGCTCACTTGAGGCCAGGAGTTTGAGGCTGCAGTGAGCTATGATCACATGACTACACTCCAGCCTGGGCAACAGAGCAAGACCCTGTCTCAAAAAAAAAAAATCCCATCAGTTGACTCTAACAGGGTTGGGGTGAGGTTATTTGAGTCTTGAGGCACCAAGGTCAAAGGCCAGGCCAACAAATTGATGGCAGGCCCCACTGGGGTTTTCAAGTCATTAGATGTTTTGTACAATTCCTGCCACATACATTGTACGATTGATCTGTGCAATGGTCAGAGCCACTCCAACCAAACTCCCAAGTCCACATCGCCTACAATTCCCCCATAAGATGCTCAGGCCAGCGAGGAGTACAGAACAGATGTGGGGGTGCAGGCAGTCAGCTCAGTTCAAAACTAGCCAAGGAGTCTCCTCCCTCCCTCCACTGGAGTCTCTCTGCATCAGGAAAACTGCAAGTTAACATGGAACTTTGAGGTCACTTTCAAAGAGTCGAAATTGGAAATGTGAAGTCCAAAATCCCAAAGATACAGTGAGCTTTTTTTTTTTCATTCAGCTGCAATGACTACTTACGATTAGCAGAGTGGCCCACGTGATGTCATTAGCAGTCAATCAGAGCTTCTGACGAGCAGGTGCTGACTCCAGTGATGATGCTGAGTTGACTTCATTCCAGCCACAAGCAAGCAGCTTTCATGGCCTCTGCAATTTCCTCAGAAAAATAGACAAAATTCCCCTTGAGTTTAAATAGAGTGATCCTTCACTCAGCCCGGGATGGAATTCCTGCCTGTCCCTAATCGGCAAAACTCTGGTGGATGCAGATGGCTGTACTGCTACCTTTGAGGAAGGTTGGGGAGTGGGGACCCTGAGAGTTTGGGGCAGACTAGAGGGATCAGCCTGTGGGATGGAGAAGGTGGCCCAGATGTGTTGACAGTCTGTGACAGACCATTCAACAGCCAGTTGTCATTAGAAGTAAATAATGTGGGCTGGGCATGGTGGCTCACGCCTATAATCCCAGCACTTTGGGAGGCTGAGGTGGGTGGATCACAAACTCTCAAGAGCTCGAGACCATCCTGGCCAATATGGTGAAACCCCGTCTCTACTAAAAATACAAAAATTATCTGGGCATGGTGTTGGTAGCCTGTAATCCCAGCTACTGGGGAGGTTGAGGCAAGAGAATCACTTGATCCCAGGAGGCAGAGGTTGCAGTGAGCCGAGATCATGCCACTGCACTCTAGCCTGGTGACAGCAAGACTCCATCTCAAAAAAAAAAAAAAGTAAATAATGTGGCAAAACTGTCACCCCATCCCCAACGTCCACCTCAGTCCCATCTCAGAGTGGGGACCTGCAATAAGGTAGAAAGATTCAGTGCCACCCCAAAGACACCCATATACAATAGGAGGCAAGCCTGTTCATGTCAAATTCACTCATATCATGAATGTCCTGCATGTCAAAATCTCTAATTTCTCCCACAAGTGTCAATGACATATAGTTTATTTTGAATTATAATAGACAATGCTGAAATGTAATTGGCTTTCATTTGAAATCTAAACAATTGCTTCCTGGGCTTTCTGGCCAAGTGTGTGGCGCCTGTGAAGCTAAGGAAATCCTGGAGCAGTGGGTCTCTGGATCCTTCTCTGATGGTTAACATTACAACCTTCTGGGACCCTTCCAGAGGCAGATTATCTGACCTCTGCCCAGAACCACTAAATAAAAAGTGTGTGAGGGTAAGGGTCTGAAAATCAGCGTGTTTTAGAAGTTCCCTGGGGGATTCTTAGGTACAGGAAACCACTGATTGGATCTGGGAAGGTGGGCAGGGCCAATAGTTGAACAAAAGCATTTCCCAGTTCCAAACTGCCCAGGAAACCCGAAATTCTATATGTAATCATTTTCTCTGCACCCAAGGAACATGCCCATTGTTTTTACTGTGTTCAACAACATAACAGTGGATTTTCAGAGATAGCAGAAGTTGCCTTAGAAGTTAGACTAATGCTAAAATACTTTTTTTTTTTTTTTTTTTTTTGAGACATAGTTTCGCTCTTGTTGCCCAGGCTGGAGTGCAATGGCGCAATCTCAGCTCACCACAACCTCCACCTCCCAGGTTCAAACAATTCTTCTGCCTCGGCCTCCCAAGTAGCTAGGATTACAAGCAGCTAATGTATTTTTAGTAGAGATGGGGTTTCTCCATGTTGGTCAGGCTGGTCTCGAACTCCTGACCTCAGATGATCCACCTGCCTTGGTCTCCCAAAGTGTTGGGATTACAGGTGTGAGCCACCATGCCCAGTGCTAAAAGACTTTTTAAAACTTTATTTTTCCCCATTGCTTGTCAAAACTTGAAACAGTGCATTAATTGAGCTGAAAGAGAAAACCTCCTGTTACTGGAGTGGGGTTAGGGAGGAGGAAAGGGACAGTCATCAGTTGCCCATAAATACAGAAAGCAAAGGATTCTACCTTCTTTTGCCAAGGCGCTCTTGGAGACTGGGTCAAAGCAGCTGCCCCAAAATATCCCCTCTGTGAAGGAACAGGCCTGTGCTCAGATGGCCAAAATAAGAGGCACTGGATGCAAAGCGCGGAAAAGCATCCCAGGCAGCATGTAGGCTGATGCAGCCAGGGAGGGCTTCCTGGAGAAGCCATGTTCCCCCATCTGTGAGGACGGCAAAACCTGACTCTAAGGCCTTGGTGTTTCCAGATAACACGGCCAACATCACAGTCAAGTATGGGCAGTTTGACCGGGAGCATACCAAGGTCCACTTCCTACCCGTGATCATCTCAGACAATGGGATGCCAAGCCGCACGGGCACCAACACGCTGACCGTGGCCGTGTGCAAGTGCAACGAGCAGGGCGAGTTCACCTTCTGCGAGGATGTGGCCGCCCAGGCAGGTGTGAGCATTCAGGCAGTGGTAGCCATCTTACTCTGCATCCTCACCATCACAGGTCAGTGCTGGGCAGGGTCAGGAGGAGACACAGCGGGCAGAAAGGGGTGGAAGGTTCGGGGACTGGGGAAGCTTCACAGGAGTAGAGACCAGGGGTCCAGGCCCAACCCTGCCTCCAATCTGCAATGAAACCCTCAGACAGTTCACGTGCAGGATGCAGGATGTGAGCACCTGGGTGCTCACAGGTGGGGATGATCCAGGGAGGAGGAGAGGGCGGGGCTCAGGACTTTTCCCCCACGCATCAGGCCAGTATCACTTTAAAATAACTTAAACATAAGTCACCCCTTCCACTTAGATATTTTCAGCATTTACTGTGTGCCAGGCATTGTTCTGGGCATGTATTTACATAAATCCTATTTTTGAAAAAGGAAAAAGGATCCAGGTCTAAAATGGAAAGTTTAAAAACTTCTCGTTTAGGTTGTCTCCACGTGCTTTCTTTCCTTTTATAAAATTCCTCCAGCCTTGATACATATTTTTTTTCCTTGTTTGGGCCTCGGAAATTTTAGGATAATTGTAGGCTTTAGTTTGGATTCCCCAGGGAGCAACCTTAGGATGAGGATGGGATACAAGTAGTTTATTTGGGCGGTGGTTTATTCCCCTGGATACCTCCTAAGGCAGAGGGGAAATGAAGCCAGGAAGGGAGGCAGCCAGTGAAGGTGGAGCCATCAGGAATGTTTCCATCATGAGGAACTGGAGCCTTCTCCCACAGGGGTGCCGGGAGGCAGCGTGGGGCCACCCTCCAGCATCTTCCCACCAGGGGAGAGGAGGGATGTGCCATATCCTGCATTTCACTCACCATGAGACGAGGCAGGGGCTGATCCTCCAGAGGAAGCCCTCAGGTGATTAGAGATCACCCTGGCACTCATGGAAAGGCCTGGATACAGCCACAGGGCACCTGCAATATAGGCTCCAGGCCTCTTCTGCCTGTGGCCACCTGAGAGCCCCCTCAGTGTGCCCCCCTTCTGGAGCTTCTCCAGCAGAGATTTCTCCTTTACTAATAATTCATGATGATGATGGCATCCACACCACAAATAGAATTGCATTTAACCTCACAACCATCTTCCCAAATATAAACAGAGCAGGGAAGTCATCATTTCCATTTTATAGACAGGGAAACTGAGGTTGGGGGGCAGGGCTGTCTCCCAGGGCATCCTAGCTTTACTTATGTATATAGTAGTTTGTTCAGTAACTCAAAGCTACAAGGTCTGAGCCTCATTTTAGAAGCTCTCTGCACTGCACCGTCTGCCCCTCCTCAGGGATCCAAGACCCTCATGTAGCCACACCCCTCAGAGATTCCCACAGGCAGGACCTGTGCACCTGCCCATGGGACTCTGGGTCTGTCACTCTTGGCCTCTCTGAGCTCAGTATAACAGGGAAAATAATAACTACATTTAGTGGCATATGAGAATGTACCTAGTAGAGTGCCAAGTATGTATGCAGGAGGTGCTCAGGAGAGGGGCCACTGTAGGCCAGGTGTGGTAGTTCACGCCTATAATCCCAGCACTTTATGAGGCCAAGGTGGGTGGATTGCCTGAGGTCAGGAGTTCACCAGCCTGGCCAATATGGTGAAAATCCGGCTCTACTAAAAATACAAACAACAGCTGTGGTGGTGTGGGCTTGTAATCCCAGCTACTGGGAAGGCTGAGGCAGGAGAATCACGAACCCGGAGGTAGAGGTTGCAGGGAGCCAAGATCTCGCCATTGCACTCCAGCCTGGATGACAGAGGGAAACTGTCTCAAAAAAAAAAGAAAGAAAGAAAGAAAGAAGGACCACTGCTGCTGCTGCTGCAATGGGCATCTTATCTACCAGCACCATGACATCCGTTATTGCCATCACGGCTGGTAACAAAGTAATGGCGAAGCGTTTGCACTTCAACTTCCAACTCCATTTCCTTCCCCATTTCTACTTCAATCTCTGGTTTCCTGGCCTTTGGGAGATGATGTGGAAGGCTTTCCCAGATTTGGCACCTGAGAGAGGAAATGAGGATACAGGAAAATGTGGTTGAGACCCTAGAGGAGAATGACCTTCAGAAAGCACCTGTGTTCCTCTTCCCATCCCCACCAGGGTGTATGACAGCCAGTGGGTGGGGAGGGACCCACCAGGTGTCTGGACCAAAGCAAACCTTCTCAGTTGGCCTTGTCATGGAGGTGTCCCTGGGAGGCTGGACTGGCCCAGGAACTTCCAGGGAGGAGGGGAAGGAGGGGGGTCGTGGGGAGGGGGGTGCCATGGGCAGCAGGGATGAGGGTGGGAAGTGAGGGGGTCTAGTGGGCATGAGGGGTTCAGGGGGCAGCAGGCATGGGGGTGTCGGGGACAGTGGGGATGAGAGTGGGGGCCCAGTTGGGATGGGGGTGGGGAGGTGGAAATGGAGTTTCGGGGGTGGTGGGAATGGGGGTGCAAGAGGCAGTGGGAATGGAGGGTGCAGGGAAAGGGGGCCATGGGGTGGGAATAGGGGGAGGGGGGCGGCAAGGATGGGGTATAGGGAAGCTGGCAGGGATGGGGTTGTGGGGGGCAGCTGGATGGGATGATGGGGTGGCAGGATGGGATGAAGGGGTGGGGGGATGAGAAAGCAGGGGTGAGGGGAATAGGGTGTCAGGGAGCAGCAGGAATGGGAGTGTAGGGGATGGCAGGGATGAGGTATGGGGGCGGTGGGGATGGGGTTTTGGGGGTGGGAATGGGGATGTGGGGGCAGTAAGGATGGGGTGTTGGTGGGAATGGGGGTGCAGGGGCGATGAGAATGGGGTGTCAGGCAGTGGGGATGGGGTGTTGGAGGAGTGGGAATGGGATGTGGGTACAGCAAGGATGGGGTGGGGGCGGTGGAGATGGGGTGCTGGGGGGTGGGAATGAGGGTGCAGGGGGCGGTGAGAATGGGGTGTCGGCGGGGATGGGGTGCGGGGATCACCTGGGCCCCCAGCCTCGTCTGACTCTGCCGCTCTGCCCCTGGCCACAGTGATCACCCTGCTCATCTTCCTGCGGCGGCGGCTCCGGAAGGAGGCCCGCGCGCACGGCAAGAGCGTGGCGGAGATCCACGAGCAGCTGGTCGCCTACGACGAGGAGGGCGGCGGCGAGATGGATACCACTAGCTACGACGTGTCAGTGCTAAACTTGGTGCGCCACGGCGGGGCCAAGCCCCCGCGGACAGCGCTGGACGTCCGGCCGCCCCTCTACGCCCAGGTGCAGAAGCCGCCGCGGCACGTGCCCGGGGCACACGGGGGGCCTGGGGAAATGGCAGCCATGATCGAGGTGAAGAAGGACGAGGCGGACCACGACGGCGATGGCCCCCCCTACGACACGCTGCACATCTACGGCTACGAGGGCTCCGAGTCCATCGCCGAGTCCCTCAGCTCCCTGGGCACCGACTCCTCCGACTCCGACGTGGATTATGACTTCCTTAACGACTGGGGACCCAGGTTCAAGATGCTGGCCGAGCTGTACGGCTCGGATCCCCGGGAGGAGCTGCTGTATTAGGTGGCAGAGGCCACTCTGGGCCTGGAGGCCCAGAGCCAGGCACCACAGCCTCCAAAAATGGCACTGACTCCTCAGCCCAGCCCCACTTCCTCACGGGTCCCAGAGACCTCATCAGCCTTGGGATAGCAAACTCTAGGTCCCTGAAAAATCTGGGAACATATGTCAGTGATGGCTATTCTCAAATGCTGGCAATTCCAGGCTGGTGTTCTGTCTGGGCTCAGCGATCCACATAACCCTGTCACCCACAGATCACCGTCTAACTCCAAGACTTCCTCTGGCAAATCAAAGCAGCCTGTGTTCAACTGCTGGGGGTCCCTGAACTCCCTGGAGAGGCTGGTGAGGTCCTGGTGCCTATCCGCCTGGAAGCAAAGGCCTGGTCAGCTCCACCTGTGGAGCCAAATTCTCTGCAGCCCATTCCCAAGGTTGACTGTGACCATCCATCAGGTCATCTCTCAGGAGCCCCAGCCCTGCTCCAACTCCCTCAAACTCCACACAAAGTGCCCCACCACTCCCCAGCCCCTCTCCAGGCCTGTCAAGAGGGAGGAAGGGGCCCCATGGCAGCTCCTGACCTTGGGTCCTGAGGTGACCTCACTGGCCCTCCATGCCAGTAACTGTGCCATAATGAACATTGAACCATTCAACCACATTCAGGGAAATGGCTTGTTGAACTTTGAAGCAACTGTGAATTCATCCTGGAGGGGTGGTGGAGATCTAGAGTGACAGATCACAGGGTGAGGGCCACCCCCACACCCACCCCCTCTGAAGAGAGCCTGGAAGAGCTGAAACCCTGCTCTGAGACTCAGCACCCCTCCAGTTTTGCCTGAGAGGGGGCAGACGTTCTAGGAGCGGAAGACCTCTCCTCTTCTCTGCCTCACCTGGTTGCCAATCCATGCTCTCTTTCTTTTCTGTCTACCCCTTCTCTCTTGGCTTAGAGGCACCAAAGATGTGGCCTTCAGCAAGACTGACCAATGTCCAAACCCACTCATGACTGCATGACAAGAGCCGAGCCATGTGCCTTTACACCTCGCTGTTGTCACATCTCAGGGAACTGACCCTCAGGCACATCTTGCAGAAAGCAAGACCCTGCCCTGCTCAACCTCTGTGGTCCTCCATGCATCTCCCACTGGAACATTCACGGCAAACACACCTTGGAGAAGTTTCATCAGTCAATAGAAAGGAGCAGGAAGGAGACGCCCAGCTTGCCCTTGTCATGACCGAGGTTCCCACTCTGGGCAAGCCCCTCACACTGCGAGGGATTGTAGATAACACTGACTTTTTTGTTTTAATCAATAACTAGTTTCTCATAATGGTTTTTTTACTAATGATACTTACAAGTTTCTAGCTTTCACAGACATATAGAATGAGGGTTTTTGCATAATAAGCAGATTGCTAGTTAGGTTAACAATATTAATTCAGGTTTTTTAGTTGGAAAAACAATTCCTGTAACCTTCTATTTTCTATAATTGTAGTAATTGCTCTACAGATGATGACTATACATTGGCCACACTGGTGTATGACAAGTACTGTATTTTTTATACCTAAATAAAGAAAAATCTTCAGGCTGAACAACATAGGGAGACCCTATCTCTACCAAAAAAAAAAAAAATTAATTAGCCAGGCATGGTGGCAGGCACCTGTGGTCCCAACTACTTGGGAGGCTGAGATAGGAGGCTCACTTGAGCCTGGGAGGTCAAGGCTTCAGTGAGCTCTGAATGCACTACTACACTCCAGCCTTGGCAACAGAGTGAGACCCTGTCTCAAAAAAAAAGAGAAAGAAAACCTTTGAGATTCTTCCATTTCTAGAGCTGGGAGAGCACATGTACACACATACAAACATGCACACAAGCATGCATATGCACACACAAATACTCATACACACACACCACAACCACCACCATCATCACAGAACCTACAGAAGAGGGGATGTTTGTAGATTCCTAGAAATGTGCCCAAGTTTTCAAAGACTGCTATGGACATTCCTCAACTTTTCCCTTCAAAATTTTTGTTAGCTTCTTATTTGCCCCAGCTGTTATCACTGCCTCAGGCAGCTGCAATGTTAAACAATTGTCACTGATACTTTCAACAAATGCCCCCAGAGAAAAGGCTGTATGCATTGAGCGGGCACCAAGTCAAGCCAAATGAACACAGCCTTGCAAGTGGAGTCTCTTCCAGGGAGCTAACTACCAGACAAGTTGAATAATAACAGTTATCTGGGAACTGGACTTTGCAGAAGCTCCAACCTTGTTCTGATCTTTCTGTTTGTCTCTAGGCTGCTGGTTTTCACCATGATTATGAAACCACTGGGTTTCAAGGCTACCACAAGTCTTGGGAGAAGGAGGACAAGTCAAAATGCCATCAGGCTCTGCTAGGTGTGGTGGCTCATACCTGTAATCCCAACACTTTAAGGGGGCAAGGAGGGAGGATTGCTTGAGTCTAGGAGTTTGAGACCAGCCTGGGCAACATAATGAGACTGTGTCTCTATTTAAAATAATAATAATAAAAACACCTCACTGTTCTTACCAAGATTTAGCTGTTTAAAAAAAAATAGTACTCCCTGGATTGTTGCAAGTTTTTTTGTTTTTTGTTTGGTTGGTTGGTTGGTTTTGTTTTTTGTTGTTGCTGCTGTTTTTGAGACGGAGTCTCACTCTCTCACCCAGGCTGGAGTGTAATGGTGCAGTCTTGGCTCACTGCAACCTCTACCTCCAAGGTTCAAGCAATTCTCCTGCCTCAGCCTCCCTAGTAGCTGAGACTACAGGCACACGCCACCACACCTGGCTAATTTTTGTATTTTTAGTACAGACAGGGTATCACCATATTAGCCAGGCTGGTCTTGAACTCCTGACCTCGTGATTTGCCTGCCTCAGCCTCCCAAAGTGCTGGCATTACAGACCTGAGCCGCCACGGCCACACCCAGCTGCAAATTTTTTATTAATTTGCAGAGTTCTGAAAAGTTGGTTTTGACAATTTTGGCCAGTATTCTCATTGCTTTTCTCGGGGAGAAGCGCTCCTTACTCAGCCATTTCTGCCAATGCCACCCCTTCCGGCTGGTTTCTGAGCTGTTTTCCCACCTATCTGAAGTAGCTGCTCCCTGAAGTCACAGTTGTCCAGTCCCTGGAGCCCACGAGATCTGTCCACTACTTCCTTCTCCAAGAAGCCTCCCCGTCCCCAAGACACCTCCAGATAAGGCAATCTCTGTCCCTCCAACCTTCAAGGGGGCCTGGCTCTGAGCTCCCGGCCACCCTGGTCACCTCCTCTGCTTGGCACCTGTTTACCCTAAGGTAGGAAGAATGATCCTCATAGCAGCAGACAGCCTGCCTCTGAATTTGTGCATTTTATTGTACCCCAAGGTAGGGCACAAACCCAGTGCCTCCTGGAATCTTCTGATCACACAGCACATGCCTGCTCCAGCCAACCCGGGGTCCCAAGCCTAGTGAAAGTGAGCAAGGGGAGCAGAGGCTCAGAGCCCTTGTCCTCCCCCAAGCGAAACCTGTGAAGCCAGCATGACCTTCCTCATTTCACAGACGGCCAAGATGAGACCCAGCCGGGGTTCAGATGTGGCCAGAGCCACACAGGCAAGTTAGAGACAGAGTTGGGACTAGACGCCCTCCCATCCCCTAACCCACTCTCAACCATTGCCTCCTGGGTCCCAGGAGAATGCAGATCTACAGACTTCCCAGACCTGGGGGGCTGGAGGCTGAACCAAGAGCATCGTCCGTGCCTGTTGGGATGGTCACAGGAAAATGACCACTAGAGGGCGGGCTGTGTCAACAAATGCTCTGCCCGGGCCGGCGTCCGCGAGCTCCGCACAGGGAATCCTGGCAATGGACCGCAGGTTCTGGGGGTCCTGGAGAACCTGGTCCAGCCCCACAACCTGCCTGGGCTCTCGCTACGCTCTCCCGTCGCGCCAGGGTTTGATGGGGTAGAGAGAGACAGGGATCTAAGTCCTCCACCTTCCCGAAGGAACGGGGTACCTGCTGTCTTCAGCAGCCCAGCCAACACCAAGAATCCCAGCTCTCCGGGAGCGCCTGGTCTTGGCCGCCGAATCTTTGGTTTGTGAGGGTCACAGTGCACCCCACCATCCCTCCCTGCACCGGGTGGCCCTGCCGCAGTGTCCACGCCCCGTCCTCCTACTCGGCCCCGCCCTGCTTTCGCCAAGCCAATCCTGGAAGGTTGACTCTGGGCCAGGAACAGGGCTGCAGTCCCTGAGCGCCCTGATTCCAGGCGCCTCCTAGGTCAAGAATCCTTAGGATAAATCTTACTGGCCTCAAGGTGACTAGTAGAGTATCTGATGTTCACAATCAAAACCGCTGCCCACCCAGCAATCCCCTTCCTAGGGATTAACCTAAGATGCATCGGGTGTATCTGCCACAGTAAGTTCAGTGTTATTTACGAGCAAAAAATTAGGAACAATATAAATGTTCAACAATAAGAGATTGGTTAAGCAAATTATGGCAAATCCACATAACAATACTGAGCAACCATTAAAAGTCACGTGGGACGTGGTGATCGTGCACTAAATTCAATTCAAAACCCAGTGAATTATTTACAGTCAGGCCTCAACTGTTTCCTAGTAGATATGCATTTCCAGGTTATGGAATTATGAAAAAGTTTTCTTTTCTTCTTTATACTGTGTTTTCCAAACTTTCTATAAGCAGTATATATTATTTTTATAATCAGAAAAAAATGTTATCTTAATGTTGATTTCTAAGCACGTTCTTGTAATTGGAAAATAGTGAATTGCTAAGCAAAATGTATCCCCAAATACCATTTTCTAACACTAAAAGTTTCTGGTTTATTTATTTATTTAAGTTTTGAATTCACTACTAATGCAACAGAGACTTTTAAGAATTGCCAGCCCGACCAACATGGCGAAATTCTGTCTCTACTAAAGATAAAAATTAGCTGAGTGTGGTGGCAGCTGCCTGTAATCCCAGCTACTCAGGAGGCTGAGGCAGAAGAATCAATTGAACTTCAGAGGCAGAGGGTACAGTCTGCACCACTGCACTCCAGCCTGGGTGACAGAGTGAGATTCTGTCTCAAAAAAAAGTTAATTGCTTTTGAAGTCATCACCCTTGATTCCAGAAGATCTGTTGTTAGAGGGTGGTTAATTTTGTTTGTTTGCTTACTTCTGAAGCATTTCTTTGAACTTGATCTGTGGGAGTCTAATCCTGTTAACCTTTGGAGTTCCTTAACCACAAATTTCCAGCCACTTTCTGGATCAGAGCAGTTACAGTTTATAAGATGCAGGAAACCCAGTTTTCCAGCCAAGTGACCTCCATAAGATTCTGTAATACAGAGAAATATCCAATATTCCTCTTCCTCAAAGATAAGAGAAATAGCTGGGGCCCATTTCTCTCAGCCCATCCAGAGGTTATTTGTGATGTTTAGGAAATCTGTGTATTCCCCCACACTTAGGGAGACTTCACAAAACTTTGCAATGTGCTTTTGTACATTGCAGAGAAATGTGCTTTCTATCCAGGGCATAGAAAGCACAGTTATCTTATAATATTCCTGTAAAATGGTTGCTGAGTTGATGGTTAATGTCGTTACACAGGAAACTGTGCTGAGGAGGGGCTTTTGTTTTCAGATGAGACTCTGGACAGGAAGTGAATCTTCACAAGGAAGGAAGCAACAAAATTCTACCTTTGGCTTTTGCTGGCTGAGCAGGGGAAAGGCCTATAGACACAGGGCATTTTGGGCAAGAGCTAGAACAGCCCTCCCTGGAGCACTACATAAAGCAGCCAGTATTTTGCAAAGCATAGGGAAGAGTGAAAGTCATCAGGGCATTTGCAGACACAAAACAGCCCTGAAGCGAAACACCAGCATGTACTGGGCAGGACTTGGGAGATAAGACAGGACATCTGAAGCTAAACATGGTGAGTCCATTTCCTGGGCTTTCTGGAGCTATGCAGGGTGATAGACTCATCCTGGCTTGCCCAGGACTGGTTTTAGTACTAAAAGTCCTGTGTCCTGGGAAACCCCTCAGTCCCAGGCCAGGTGGTCTGGTGGCTTGGAGTCAGCAGTCCTGGGTGAATCAGCACACTCCTAGAAGCAGTCATGTTTCTTAACCTCCCTGAGTCACAATTTTCTCATTTGTAAATGAAATTGGGTAATAAAATGCCTACTCTAAGTTTTTGTCAAATTCAAAGGAAATAAATCTTGGAAAGATAATAGAACCAAATTTGGCACATAGTAATTATTCAATGTTAACAGGAAGGAAAGAAGGAAAGGGAGGAGGAAGAAAATGTTAAAAGATTTTTATTTTTTTGGTGGTTTTTTTTTTTTTTTTTTTTTTTTTTTTGAGATAGAGCATCATTCCTCTGTCGCCAGGCTGGAGTGCAGTGGCATGATCTCAGCTCACTGCAACCTCCACCTCCTGGATTCAAGTGATTATCCTGCCTCAGCCTCCCGAGTAGCTAGGACTACAGGTGCACACCACTATGCCGAGCTAATTTTTATATTTTTAGTAGAGACGAAGTTTCACCATGTTGGCCAGGATGGTCTCAATCTCTTGACCTTGTGATCTGCCCATCTCAGCCTCCCAAAGTACTGGGATTACAGCTGTGAACCACCACACCTAGCCAAAAGATATTTTTTAAGGTAAAAATCATAACTCTTTACTCATATAAAATGAGTATGTATCAAAAGTTTTATTTAACTCATTAGTTTATGATAGAACCAGTCAGATGTTACAACCCACTGAAAGGAGTATTCAGAGAATCCCACAGTAAAGGCAGTAAGGAATGCTGAAATCAACTTACATACAGAAATAAAACTGGTCTATCAACAGGGTAAAGATCAACTGCATTCCACTGGACACAATCATTTGTACTCCCAAGGGCAAGAATAATTTGCATTATTCTGAGTTTTCTTCAACTTACAAAGTTGTAAAATAGCTCAAAGGCAATAAAAGGCAATAACCTAGAAGAGTGTACTGGACCAAAAAAAACCCAGTAATTTTTTTTTTTTTTTTTTTTTTTTTTTTTTTTTTTTTTTGCCTATTTGAAAGTCTTTCATAATCTTTCCTAACAGAAGGAAAGGACAGAGGAAGGAAGGGAAGGAGGGAGGGAAAGAAGTGTGGGTCTGATAGGATTTGGCTATGGTTTGCCTCTGTGTCCCCACCCAAATCTCGTGTTGAATTGTAATTCCCAGTGTTGGGGAGGGACCTGGCGGGAGGTGACTGGATCACGGGGTTGTTTAATCTGGTTGTTTAAATGCATCTAGCACTTCCCCCTTCAATCTAGCTCTCCTGCTCTGCCACGTGAAGAAGGTGCTTGCTACCTCTTCAGCCTTTCGCCATGATTGTAAGCTTCCTGAGGCCTTCCCAGGCATGCTTCCTGCATAGCCTGTGGAACTGTGAGTCAATTAAACCTCTTTTCATCATAAATTACCCAGTATCAAGTAGTTTATAGAAGTGTGAGAACAGAGTAATACAGGGTCTGCAGTGAGAAGTTTATACCAGAACTAAGTGAATCGCACGTATGGTGGGTTTATGTAAGGGTGGCTAAATGCATCAGGGTGTTTCCTGTATCTATTGCTATGTAACAAATTATCACAAACTTCGCAGCTTAAAACAACATGCATCTATCACCTCATACTCTCTATGAGCTGGGAGTCCAGGAATAACGTTGCTGGGTTCTCTGCTCAAGGATCCCCTCTGAAAGCTACAATCAAATTGTCATCCACGCAATCTGATCTCAAGCCTTGACTAGAGGACCTACTTCCAAGATTACATAGTTGAATGAATTCAGTCCTTGCAGCCCGTTGAACTGAGGGCTTCCCCAACGTATTCACCTGCTTCATTGAAGTCTGCAAGACAGAGAGAGAGAGAGAGTCCACTAGCAAGAGAACACTACACAGTCTTATCTAATGTAATCACTGAAGTGGCATCCTGTCACCTTGATCACCTTTTCTATCCCGTTCATTATAAATGAGTCCCAAGTCCTGCCACACTCAAGCGGAGGGGATTACACACGGCTGGGGTATCAGAGGTGGGGATAATTGGGGTAATCTTGGAGTTCTTCCATCACACAGGAATTCTCAGCTGACCAAATCTGGGATCCTGCATCTGGCTATTCCTGAAGCTGGAGGCCTGGCATAGTTTTTAGTGTCCATTTGGATCAGCTCATAAACCCAGCGTTTGTCTGCTGGCTGGAGGAGTAAAAACTCTAAGGCTAATTGAAATGAATCTATTAAAACAGTGACCTGATTTATCTAATAATTACTAGAAGGTAAGGGTTGATTGAGGCTTTAAAATAAAACCAAAAATTATTTTAAGTTTTCATATTTTATCTAAGAAAGTTTTTATTTTTACTGCAAACATTTTCTAACTCTTAAAGAAAGAAAAATTCAAGTGTTGATATTTTCCCAACATATATATACAGGAATATAAAGTAGCTTCCTTGTATTTTATCTTTGATTTACACAAAGAGAATTTTTATACAAATATTCCAGGCTCATTAGTTTTCCCAAAGTCTTCTTGCAATCCTCTGATATTTAAATCGTTCCCTCTTCAAAGTCAAATTTTATCTTCCTTGTCAATACTCTTTTTGTTAATTTGCCCAACTCATCTGGATCTTCCTTTGTCACTGACTTCATAGATTTGAGTCATTCTCCAACAACACTCCTAGCAACTTTATGAAATCCTTTGTCTTCTGCAAGATTTAAAAATTTCCTTTATAATAAGCAATCTATAGTAAGTGAAGACTCACTAGCAAATACATATAAGTGATGGGTCAAGAGAGACAAAGTGTTAAACATGGAGAGATGCCATTTTTAAAAGTGAAATTCTTAGTTACACTCTAACAAAATGTGTACAGGACCTGTATGCTGAAAACTACAAAATAGTAATGAAAGGAATCAAAGAAGGTGTAAACAAACGGGGAGATCTACCATGTTCATGAATTGGAAGTCTCAGAATTATTCAAATATAAATTCTCTCCAAATTGATCTGTAGATTCAACCCAATCACAATCAAAATCCTAACTGGCTTTTTTGTATAAATTGACAAGCTGATTCCAACATTCACATAAAAATCCAAAGAATGCAGTTAAGAGCCAAACAGCTTTGAGAAAGGAGAACAAAGCTAAAGGACTTACATTATCTGATTCCAAAACTTCTTATAAAGCAACAGTCATCCAGTCAATACGGTACTGGCAAAAGAAGAGACACATTCTATGTATGTATCTATCTGACTATAGATCTATGTGGAATATAATACAGAGTTCAGAAATAAATCCACAAATAAGATCAATTGAATTTTGACAAAGATGAAAAAGCGATTCAGTGGAGAAAGGACAGAATTTTCAATAAATCATGCTGAAACAATTAGACATCCATATGCAGGAAAAAATATTTGACCTATATGTTTATTTTATACAAAAAATTAATTCAAAAACAATCATAGACCTAACTGTAAAATATAAAAACTTTTAAACTTTTAAAACAAAATATAGGTAAAATCTTTATGACCTACGGTTAGGCAGAGTTTTTGGAGACGACATCGAGAACTTAATTCATAAAAAGAAACAATTGATAAGTTGGATTTTATTAAAACTAGAAACTTTTGGTCTAAAAAGAGCAAAATTAAAATTACAAGCATGAAAAAGAAAAGCCACGGACTGTCATATACCTGACAAAGGATATACAGACTATAGGAACTACTCTCAAACTCAACAGTAAGAAAATAAGCAACCCATGTTAAAAATTGACAAAATATGGCTGGGTGCAGTGGCTCACACCTGTAATCCCAGCACTTTGGGAGACTGAGACAGGCAGATCATAAGGTCAGGAGATCAACACCATCCTGGCTAACATGGTGAAACCCTGTCTCTACTAAAAATACAAAAAATTAGCCAGGCATGGTGGCGTGCGCCTGTAGTCCCAACTACTCGGGAGGCTGAGGCAGGAGAATCACTTGAACCCGGGAGGCAAAGGTTGCAGTGAGCCAAGATCGTGCCACTGCAGTCCAGCCTGGGCAACAGAGTGAGATTCATCTCAAAAAGAAAAAAAAAATGGGCACAATATTTGTACAGACACTTCACAAAAGAAGATATACGGATGGCAAATAAGCACAGGATTCTCAGCATGATTACTCATTAGGGAAATGCACACTGAACCCACAATGACATGCCAATACCTATTAAAATGGGGAAAACACTGACAAAACCAAGTGAAGGGCCACTGATGCACTCATACACTGCTGACGGGAATGCAAAATGATACAACCACTTTACAAAAACTGTTTGGCAGTTTCTTATAAAGTTGGACATATGCTTACCACATGACCCAGCAATCCCACTAAATACTCAATTGATGTAACAACCACTATAACACACAAAACTGGATTCATATGTTTATAGTAGCTGTACTCATAACACCAAAATCAGAAACAACAAAATGTCTCTCAACTGGTGAGCAATGCTATGATCTGAATGTTTCTGTCCTCCCAAATTTATATGTTGAAACCTAATCCCCAATGTAAGGGTATTTAGAAGTGGGGATTTGGGATGGGATTAAATTATGCAAGCAAACCCCTCATGAATGGGCTCAGTGCCTGATGTGGTTTGAATATATGTCCCTTCCAAATCTCATATTGAAATACAGTCTCCAGTGTTGGAGGTGGGGCCTGGTGGGAGATGTTTGGATCATGGAGGTGGATCCCTCATCAATGGCGTGGCACATCCCCTTGGTGATAAGTGAGCTCTCACTCTGAGTTTATGTGAGATCTGATTGTTTAAAAGTATGTGGCATCCCCTGCAACACTTTTGCCATGTGATGTGCCTTCTCCTGCTTTATCTTCCACCATGAGTAAAAGCTTCCTGAGGCCTCCCAAGAAGTCCAGCAATGCCAGCACCATGCTTCCTGTACAGCCTGCAGAACTGTGAGCCAATAAAACCTCTTTTATTTATAGATTACCCAATCTCAAGTATTTCTTTATAGCAATGCGACAATGAACTAAGGCTGAGTGCTGTAATTCCAGCACTTTGGGAGACACGTGGATTACTTGAGGCCAGGAGTTCAAGACAAGCCTGGCCAACATGGTGAGACCCCATCTCTACTAAAAATACACAAATTAGTCGGGCATGGTGACACACACCTGTAATCCCAGCTACTCAGGAGGCTGAGGTAGGAGAATCGCTGGAACCCAGAAGGCAGTGGTTGCAGTGAGCTGAGATCATACCACTGCACTCTACCTGGGTGGCAGAGTGAGACTCTGTCTCAAAAAAAAGAAAGAATGGACTAACACAGT